GAGCATTGCTATCTTAGGGTTGAAATAGTAGGAAAAAAAATTAATTTTCAAAATTGAGGACTTGAAATCTGAAAAATTACTGCTACATTTAAACTACAGCTAACAGTAAAAAGAGATAAAGCAATTTTGATAATGCCTCTAAAACTTGACTGACATTTCACCATTAAAAGCAAAATCTTTTGAAAAAGTTTTCTGTTTATAACTGCTAATGAACTGCCATATTGTTTTCATGGTGTGATGACTGGTGGCATGACTACTAGATAGAATTTGTTCCTATGCTATTTCCCCAGCCACCAAGAATAATAAATATTTACTACAATTTTTAAAATAATAGCTTAGTACCATACTAAAGTTTGTTGATAATATTAAAATTATTTTAAATAAATTTATGCAGCAAATGGTACTCTTATTTGGTATTCTCTTAAAATAAATCAAACTGTAAAAAACACATGATTTATTTTCTTAAATACTGTAATTTCTAAATTAAAAAACCTGCAATTTTGGCCATTAAATGACCAAATTAGTATCCTTTGTATGGGCTGGAGGTGTGCTTGTAAAGGCCCACATATGGCTCCCAGGCTGCAATGTTTGACATGCCTGATGTACATAGAGGTGTCCATATTAGACTTTATTGTCAATCCCAATATTATAAGATTTTTAGAAACCAGAATCAACCCTATTGAGATGTCACATCAGCCCTAACTGATGAGTGAAAAGAAGGCTGAATGACCCGTAAGGTTGGTATTACTCAATACAGCTAGTGGAGTTAAGGACTGAGGAAAAAAAAGAGAAGAGTATGAATAGAGGGTGTGAGTTACACACTTATTTCATTTACCACACTGATAACCACTTCTCTATATGCAGAAATTTGCACTCTCCCAATATTGTTTAAATTGTTGATCTCTCTTGGCTTCAGTTTTTGTATTTCTTAAGTCAAAAAAAAAAAATAAATAAATAAAAATGTTTGAAGACTTTTTGTAAACTCTTATCAAAATCTGATTTTATTGCTTTCATCAGATCATGATGTGCAAACTCAACCAGGTAATGAACTCTATTTTACAAGGTAGTACTTAATGTTAAAGATGACATTGGTAATACATTGAAATATACTCTCTGGTAATCTAATTTTGATTGTCCTTCAATTTGTTTTTTTCTGCAGAAAGACAAATTCATAAAATGTTGGTAGCTCAGTTTTAATCTAGAAAGTGTCAGACAAGAATGGTTAAAAAAAATAAAAATTAAATAAAATAAATAAATAAATAAAAAAATAAAAAATAGGAAGAGTGCTGAAAAGTTCTAGATCTGACTTCCCAAAGTTTCAAGTAACAAAACATCAGAAATTGGTCAGGCCAAGAACCTTTCATCACCCCCATATAAAATTCTAAATTTTTCACATGCATCACTTTAGATTTGTTTCCTTAAACACTGATGAAATGATTACATCAATTCTGGTTCTGTGTTTGGTGGCCACTTTGACCAATGCTCCCCAGGCTACCAATTTTTTTGTCATATATTTTTTGCTAGAGATCCCCTCCCACCTCGAAAGCAATCTGAATAGGTTGTTCCCAGAGATCATGTAAAGAAAAGATATAAAGCAGTGGCTAGATAATGTAACTAAGAAACATGAATTGTTTTAAAGAAATTTTTCCAGTAAGACATATATACAGATTTAAAAAACAAAACAAAAAAACAACATGTCCGTATGGTGGAAGACAAACTCTTGTGGAGAAAACTGATGTCCATATCTGATGACAAAACCCAGAAAAGAATTACCAGCAGTGTTTGACTTTGAAGATTAAATGCCTCCACACACCCATAACAAATGAACTGAAAGTCTTCTAGAAAAAGAAAAGCTAAAATCACACGTGAAAAGAATTACTATTTTCATAAATAGATTCTATTTCGCATATATTGTAATAGGTACCATTGTAAAATACTAAGAGTTTTTACATATTCAAGTGTCTACAGTTATCAAAATATTCAAATGGATAAACAAAATACAGGAATACCCCTGGTTTACAAATTTATTTATTCTTAATTACAGTTGTAAAGTAGGTGTTTGTAAAATGAAATATTGTTAGGCATAGAAAACAATACTTCAATTGAAGTTACATTCACTTGGATTTAAAATGTTTAAAATATCAAAGAATGTTAAGATAGAAGGGGGTAATAAAATAATGCTGTGTTTTTTAAGTAGACATTTAGGGCATTACAAAGTTCAGAAATAATTATATTAGCCACTTGATAGAACTTTCTGCATTGGAAATGTTATCTGCTTCTCTTGTGATGTTTTTCTTTTAATACATTTAATGTTAACTGCTTAAATGCTTGTTTTTCTACTGATGGGAAATTTATCATCAGCAATAATGAACTTTAGTTGGCAGTAGCTTTTGAACCTCTTGAAAAATTCAGATATTGACATTGAAAAATTTTAATAAATTTTTTTCAATGAGTCTAAAGGCTACTTCAAGCTTTCTTTAAAGGGAAACATTAAATGGAAGTTTCAACTTTGTCAATTTCTTCTTCCTTCTGTTTCAACTAATCATTTGTTGCTTCACTGTAACAGTAAATATTGGATTTGAAAGCAAAAAAATGCAATTTAACAAAGATGCTTAAGAAATGCAGGATTAATTTTTTTTAACGCGAGACAAAAACGATGTAAAAACGAATGTTCACATAACATGTATATTAACCATGCTTTCTTTTACTACCAAATGATTGGAAGAGATTCCTTATTGATTCTCTTGATAGAACTCAAATCCTCAGCTCTATAAATAAGGAAGCATTTTAATTTTCTACATTTCCTCCCATCTTTTGTAACTTTAAACGCTACCATAGAAGATTCTTTGTTAATGAAACTGCACTGGCATTCATTTCCAAATCAGTCCTATGTTGGCAATATTAAAAATTTGAGAGGAATGCATTTTTTTCAAGAATTTCTAATTTTTGTAGAAGATTTTTAACTGGTTTTTGTTGAATGTTAGCTGATTCTCCTCAAACACTCATTGCCAATTTTAACATTTTGTAGCAATCAAACTGATTATTGCCTGCAGAAAATATTTCATTTGAATTTTCTTTCTCTTTAAACATTTCAAGAGGAAGATCTCTGGCACATATCAGTTTGAGCATTGTATATTCATTAATACAAGCCATTATGAGTTTTCTCATATGGACAATTAAGCTGTACCAAGTTGAATTCATAGGCTTTCTATCTTTATCTCATTTTTCTTTATCATTTAGAATTATACAGAGTTGAAGCTGACAAACCAAACTTCTTTAACAGATCTTTTATGATTGCTCCACTTTCATGCTGTTTTTTTTTTTTTTAGAATTCATGTTTTCTTCACATTGCTGAAATCCTTTTTGAAAACAATGACAATATGTAGACACAAAATTTAAAAATGGGAAAAATGACTATAGAAAAGCAGTAAATTGCATGGGTGTCAGGTAAGCATTGCAAATCTGCTCCAAATACTGTGTCAACTAACTCAGTGCTGGGTAGGGTTGTCACAGCAAGCTACCTTGAGAGTGATCATATTTCTCAGCGTCACATATAAGGGTTGTGGGACATGTGGACAGGCGGTGGGTGAAATTTGAAGTTTTATGGAATATTTATATACATATGTATTTATTTTTTGGTAAGTTTTTATTAGTACTGTGTCTGAAATAACATATGTACATTAGTTAAAGCAGTATCATTCAATTCATGGTATTTTATTGAATACAGTCAAAGATTTTTTGTTTTTAATTTTATTATCAAATGATTTGATAAGCAATTTTGCAATACATAGTTATAGGTCAAGTTTCATAATATTATATTTCTAAAAATAAAATTTATTAAAATCTGTTTATAAAACAATTATGAGATAAATTTCTTATTATAAAACTTTACCTACACTATGCCTAAATATGTAGGCTTTGTGGCTATGTTTTTTGGTGTGTGGTACTAATGTAAAAAGTATTAGTTTTATTTTCAAATAAACCAACTGTAAATAATTCAGGTCAGTTCATAAAGCAGGAATTTGTAAAATGAGGTATACCTGTATGTACATAAAAAAAAAAAATTTTTTTTTTTTAACATATGCACATACAATATTTAAAGTAATGTATGCATAGACATATTTACATATTCAATCAACAGCAAATACTTACAAGCATATCAAGCTGTACATATAGAAAGGAATGAGTACATGTTTATATACAGTGGATTCTAGTTAAATGGAACATCGGCTTACAAGTCCTTTAGTAGGACCAACTGTGCAAGAAAAAAAAAAAAAAAATCAATTTATTTTTTTTTTATTTAAATCTGTCCTTTTTAAGCAAATCTAAAAAAAAAAAAAAAAAAAAAAAAAAAGCTTATAGGGTTTAAAATTTATGGTCCCCGATGTGCTCTGCTTAAGTGGAATTCACTGTATGTAGATGTGTGTGTATATATATATATATATATAATTGCACACACAGACATAAATTAGTATGTACATTTATGCAGATGTCGGCATGCAGACAGATCCATTTTATCTACAGATATTTTTTTAATGATTAGTAGTTTTATTTTTGTAATTTCTTAATGTCATTTCATTGCCAATGCGATAATGGAAATTCAACTGTTTTGTACTCTCCTCATTATCTCAGCAATGGTGTGAGTTAAAGAGTTAGCAGTAATAATCAGAACAGAGATATGAGATGCATGTTAATTTACAATAAAAGATTTTCTGTATTAGCACATGTAGTAGCCTAACATCAAGCCATAGGACAAGTATGCAAAACACGAGCATATGTGTATGTGTGTGTGTGTGTGTGTTTGTGTGTGCGTATACAGAAGACAACAATAATGATAACAGGTGGTTGGCCATCCTGTCTGAACATGCGGTGGAAGAGTGGCAGGCAGTAGCTGACACCAATGTATATCAAAACATCTCCCTAACCCTTTGTTTTTTTTTTTTTTTTTTTTTTTTTTTAGTTCCATTTTTGATTTTACATGACATCCACAAAAAACTCACATGGATTCCCCATGGCCATTCTGAAAGACTGTCGGCTTCCAGAGAGGTCTGGGGGCATCTGTCCAAGTTCGCGTGGCATTGGAGGTAAGCTGCGCTCACTGGGGGCCCCTCGTCGGGCACTGGCTAGGCTGCCCGTATCTGTGTCGCTGCTTCCACTACCTGCAGGGCTGGCAGATTTTCGTTCAGATTTCTCCTTTTCCTTTTTCTTTTCACTACTACCAGATGCACTGCTTCCTGAAAGAGACATCATAACTAGCTTTAAAAAAAAAAGTAAGACGAAGATATAAGGTAATGGTGGGGGACAAAGAAAAACCTGTAAATATTTTGTTAATTACAAAAAATAATTATAACCTTTATAAAAAGGAATCAAACTTTTGTTTCATGCAAATGAATGTTATTGCCTAATTAGCTACTGAATGTAAACTGAAAATATTAAAATAGCTGTCTTATGAGTGTACATGCAACATTTCAAGAATAGTTAATTTTGAAATGGACCAAACGATAAAAGGCTAACAAATCTTTGAGAGTGAAAAATTGACAATTCATCTGGGTTTGCAATTTCATGATTGTTTCATGCATTCCAAGAATATTTTTTCAAGAAGTATCTCCACAAATCATGGCTTTATAATCACATAAAAAAAAAAAAAAAAAAAAAAAAAAGACTCAATAAATAAAAATTTAGACAAAATATGTAATGGAAAAACAAATCATTATCACAAACAATAAAAATTTAAGTCTGATGAAGTAAACAAATCCCTCAACCTCATCCTGCTTTGCTTTAAGATTGGGTAACTGTAAACTAATTTTTTTTTCTTCTTAAGAGTTCAGAAAAAGAGCTAATGAAAAAATAGCAAATAAATCAAATTTAATGAGAAAATCTAAAGACAGTAAAAGCAGAATAGAGACAAAGTTAATACTATTTAGAAAAGCAGTAAGCAAATTACATGGCATTTTATGCATTAACTTTTTATTCCTGATAATGGATGTTCCAACAATATGGTGAAATTTATGACAATTTGAAAAAAAAAAAAAAAAATGTTTATGTTTAGATTTCAAAAGTCTTTAATGAAGAGCTTGAATGAATGCCATTGCATGTTGATATTTATTTTAAAAATAAAACTATCTGCTTAGTTCATTAGCAATTATCATTTCCTCTTTATTTTTTGTTTTTCACAGAATTTTTAATCTTTGAAAATGCAGAATTTATATTAACTCATCAATATATCAAAAATAGTTACAATGAAAGTAAAAAACATTTCACACAGTTCCCTAAAAGTAAATCCAATCCATCCTCCATAAATTCATAAACTAAGTTATTCCAATATAAAACAATATAAAAGAGATAAGTGGATTTATTAATACAATATATTTTAAATGTTCACAAATTTAAGAGAGCTGTCTTTTTTTTTTAGTGTAAGAAACTTAATATTTCAAGTATTAAAAAGGTTAAAAATCATACACTACTACCATTTATGAACATGACACAGAAAATTAAAAGAACTGCAATAGACTGAATTTACTTGAAAACAATAAAAATCTCAAGCATAAATCTGAATAATTTACTGTAATAATTATTTTATATAGATTTTATATTGTAGGATTAATTTCTGTTTTCAAATTGCTAGAGAATTGCATGACTTTCCATTATTTATTTAGCACTATATAAATATATAGTATTATATATTAATATATAAGACAAAGACTGACAAGTGATATTTACAAAATAACATATTTCACTTGTATTGGTAAACTTGTGAGTAATTGAATATATTTATGATTAAAAAAATGTCAAAATATTCAAATCATCAAGAGTAAGTTATTCAGAAGCATTAATATAATAATCTGAAAATACAGATTTCCATCGACTGATCAATGTCTCCTCAAAAAATGTTGTGCTTATGAAAAGTGTTAAATTTAAAAACTCATAAGAAATATTAGTTCTGAACTTAAAAAACTCAAAACAATCTTCTAATATAATTTAGTCAAATTTTTCAAAATAAAACTCAAAAATCAGATTGTCTTTGCCCAAGACAAATATTTATAAATATATTTTTATTGATATAATAGCCATAAGGAAATTAATAAAAGACAAGTTATAACTTTTCAAAGAAAAAAAAGATTTTAGTTTTATTGCATTTCATATTTTCTGATTCTAGACATATTTTCTCGAGTTTAAATTTAGAATAAACTTTCAAGCCATCAATCTTTTTTTTTTTAAATAAATAAAAAATAAAAATTATAGCAATTTTCAACTATCATAATTTTACACAGAATACCCATTATCAGGATTTATACCAAAATAAATTAATATATATAACAAAATAAAATAAAACACAAACAATCACTTTTTAGTTCAAGCTAGCACCACAATTATATTTATTGTTTTTATCATTCTCGCACCACCATTACTAATCACTTTTACCATTTTACAATAACTATTAGCTACTTATATTATCATTCTCTCCAATCCCTTACAACATTACTACCACATCAAATAACCAGCTTTAAAATAATAAGAAATAAACCCTTTCTTTTTTAAAAATTAAAAATAAAAACAATAGTAATTTTTACCTATCATAATTTTACACAGACCCCACCACACGTATATACATACATGCGAGGAAATATTATTCAGTGAAGAAATAGAAAATGCTCTGATTGTTGACGTGTATACATTCACGAGAAATTTTCGCTACACTTCCAATCTTTAAATTTCAACATACAAATGCATATGTATAGACACAACACCACCCATATACATACATACATACGTCAAACCCGAAACTGTCCACATATGTTTATATATGTATGAGTCCCGACGGACAAGCAAGTGTGTATGTGTGTCTGCATACCTCATCTGATGTATGGACATGCATTTATGTTTGCGTTAGCACGATGAATATCATGACGACGATTCCCCCCACTCCCATAATAACACCAATACACGCAATCTACATAAACCCAAATTTTTAAAAAATTAATCAGTTTGTCTGACTATCACAAAAGCGTGAAACCCAGGGTTACAAACTCACATCAATCCAACCAAATATATATATATATATATATATATATATACACACACACACACATACATATATATATATACAATAAAATACCAAATCACCTCATATAGGGAATAAGCTAGGTTCATTTGGATTATATACCAATGGATTTATTACCTTTTATATATATATATATATATATATATATATATATGCAGCATATCTTCACTTATTAGTATAAAAATAAGTAGACACAATATGTCTATATTATCCAGTGATTATATATATATATATATATGTAAAAAGGAATATTTATATGATGAACCCGAAGACTTACAGGGGGGGGGGGAAAAATAAAGGAAGAAATAACTAAGTTTTACAAAAAGGCCCCAAATTTGCACATTGAAAGTATAAATGAGGAGACGAAAAACATCACAGCCAAACTGGTTATAAGTATATCCCTAAAGGAATAGAGTGCAGGTTTTCTAGAAATTCCTCTTGCAAAACAATTTTTGGAAAAAAAAAAAAAAAAAAAAAAAAAAAAAGTATGAAAAGGCTGTAAAAGAATAGGGGCATAAAACTAAACTGGAATTTAAACCTCAAAGAAAACAGCAAATGAAGAATAATTTGAGGAAAAGAAAAAATATTTGGTTTAACACCTCCCACCCTTTAATTTAGAGGTGAAATGTAAAATAGGGAAAATATTTTTCAAATTGCTTAATAAACACTTCCTTAAAAATTCTGAATTACACAAGATCTTTATGAAAAACACAATTAAATTAAGCTACAGCTGTACCAATAATTTAGAAACTACCATAATAAGACAAAATGTCAGGAATTTCAAAACTAATGTACAGTAAGATATTGTTAACAGTGAAACATGTAACTGTAGAGATAAGGATAAATGTCCATTAGATAGAATTTACAAAATGGAAAGAGTAATTTATAAAGCAGAAGTAAAAGATATAAATGGCCAGAGCAGAATATACGTGAGTTGTACTGAAGTCAGCTTAAAAAAAAAGAGTTGGTATAATCATAAGTCATCATTCAGGCTAGAAAGCCTTAGGAATTGTACCAGACCAGAATATGTGGGAATTAAAAGAAAAAAAAAAAGACCTGATTGTAAACTGGAAAATATTAAGAGCCAAATCTTACAGCAATCATAGTGATATCTTCAAACTGTGCCAGATATCACTACCAATATCTGTCTACTAAAGGAAAGATCTGAAATAATATTGCAATGTTTATACATACTAAAAAGTACTTTTTGAGTTTGCACGAACCAGGATGAAAGCATGTGCAATTTATTTACCCCACCCCATACAATTTCAATACTTTTGCCTTACTCCTCCCCTTCTATTACACTTCACATTGTGCATTCATATATGAATAATAAAGCATTAGGAAATCATCTGGCCTATATCGTCTGTGGATACTGAAATATTGAAACCAAGGTAGCGTGATTGGCTGATCTCTTAATCTTTGAAATTTAAAAGCTCTGCACATCTTTTTTTTTATTATTATTATTATTTCCTTTGTATGTGTATTTTTTACTTTTTAATACAACTGTATCCTGGTCTAATTCAACTCTGACCAATAACTGTTTTATAATTATAATATTTGCTCCTGTCTTACAGTTGAGCACTTATTTTCAGTGTATTTTTGCTACACAAAAATTAACATAACTGATATATTCTAACAGACTATGTTTTAGTAAGTATACTTTCACTATTACAGGTTTCTTTTCGAAAGCATGACAAGTTACAGAATTTTCAGAGGAAACTATAATGCAAGAATTTAAAATACCGTACTCACTAAAAACATCCCTATTCCTAACAAGCACGAATACATGCTAAATTTATTACAAAAAATTGAACAGTTCATTACCAGAATGAGATGGAAGCCACTGTTTTCTTTACATAAATATTTAAGATGCAAAGAAAACATGGGAAAATTTAAATTCAAAACTAGAAATTACCTCCTGCAATTGAAGAGCTAGGTAGCTATGAAAAAGATATGCTTGGTCTAATAGATAAAATTAAGTTTAGAATAGTTAATAACGATTTCCAAAAACTATTAACTACTGAAGTTAAAAGAAAAAATATTCTTGTTAAAGGCAACAAAATAAGGAATATTTATATGATGAGCCTGAAAACTTACAGGAAAAAAAATAAATGAAGTAACTAAGTTTTACAAAAAGGCACTGAATTTGCACATTGAAAATATAAATGAGGAGGCGAAAAACATAACTAAACTGGGTATAAGTGACAAGGTCCATATACTATGTGGTAAGCAAGCATTTTTAACTATAAAGGACCATAAAGATCAATTCCCCAGTAACCCTTCATTTTGACTAATAAACCCAACCAAAACTGAATTGAGTAAAATAAGCCAGGAAATACTGGAGAAAAAAAAAAAAAGTGTGACTTATTAAGGATTGCTACACAAGATAACCAATGAAAGGCACAAGTGAGTGCATTTCTTGGTTCCATAATATATATATATATATATATATATATATATATATATATACACACACACACTACATATACATACACACATTATATATAAAAACACATACACAATAAACCCACGCTGACAGTACGACTGAGTTTCATGCTTGACGATTGCATCATGCGTGAAACTCAGTCATACTGTTGGTGTGTGGTATTATGTATATTTATTAATATACACTTAATAGTTCTGTTATTTAGCATTGATCAGTTTTTCTAATACCAAAGGAGATATATATGTGTGTGTGTGCCTGTGAACACTTACACCACATACATTTATTTATCTTTATCCATTTAAATGTGTGTGTGTATATATATATATATATATATATATATATATATATATATATATACACGTTTTAGTGTCCAAATAATATCTGATAGTTATTTCATAAAATTAAATAAAGGAGAGGCTAATCAACTTAAAAAATACTTCCAGAAATTTTCTAATGACATTTTCTTTTAATATCATATATACTTGTGTATAAGCCAACATCACGTATAGTGTGACCCCTTCAGAAAAATTTACCTGCGTATAGTGCAACTGGTCTCCTAAAATGCTCGATTTTTAACCTCTTTAAAAAAAAAAAAAAAAAAAAATTCCGTGTATAGTGTGACCCTCTATATTTTGCATTAAAAAAAAAAAAAAAACCCTGATAACTCACACTATACTCAAGTATATGCGGTAAATAAATTCTGAAAATGTTATTGAAATCTAATAATTAGCTAAATTTTGGTAGATTTTTAAAATTTTTGTGGTTCAACTGTTGCTGTTTTCAAAGACACACGCACAGAGGTCCCTACTGTAAAAATATTTAGGTGGAAGACTGAGTACACTAGAAAAATTATTTTTTGTGGGTAGTGTAATGGCTATTAGCACAGAAAATGAAATTGGCAAGTTGAATTCAAATTCTGACTAAGGATTGCAGTATTGCCTTTGTTCTAATGCTCTTGGGAAAAGCATGAATCCATGTGTTCTCCCATCCACTACGGGTTAAATAATATTAGACAGGACTCTTTGGCCTTGGTAAAACAGCCAGTCTATAAGGACAACTATGAACTCAAAACCTAAGAGAAAGCAACAGGAAACCACTACATTATTTTTTCCAAAAAGTTATGGACATTCAGATATTAAGGAAACCGTGGAGAGCCATAACTTGCCTATATCCACAAAGGACCCCCCCACTTTTTTTTTTTTTAATTAAATACTGTCATCATGTTAATTGAAAACCTTAACTAGAATTATGTTACTCAGGAGTTTACTGTAATAGTTATAGAAATTTAATTAATCATAGAAAATAAATTTCATTTTGTATCATGAAGGGTTTAAAAATTTAGCATTTGAATACATCATTATTTTTTCTGAGATTAACTTCCAGGATTACCAATCTTATTGTTTAATCATTAAACACTTTTTAAAATGGCTTCAACTGACATCAGTTTATTTTAGTGCTTGAAATCCTTTTTAGTTGATTGGCTGGACTAAAAGATTCCCCATTCATTTATATTTTTTCTGTTGGCTATTTTTGGTCTATTTGAAAAGAAATAGAAAAAAATTTGGAAGATTTAACTAGATAGTTACACCTGGTTGAAGTTGTACCCCAGGTGAAAGACATTCTCTAACCTACTTTTTGTTCTAGTCAAATCAGTGTTAAAATTGAGATCACTAACATCTGTGTTATATAATGTGAAATACTATTTCTTTTAAAATTAAGAATATATTATATATAAACAGGTGAAAAAAAGTGAACAGAAGAACTTAAATTAATTTCTTTCTGAACAAACAAAAAGATAAGTATATTTGTTACATAAAAAGTTTGGTTAATAACTGAAATAATTTTTTGGTACTTAGCCTTACTGTTAAACATGAGATATTGAATACAACTTTTACCAAAAATAGAAAACTATCTTGAAACTATATAAGTAGCAAATATGGTTTATCATTGTATCAAGCATATTTTATATATATATATATATATATATATATATATATATATTGTGTGTGATTAAGAGAAGGAAGCGTTGCATACACATGATAGCTATTAGAGAAATAAAAAAGCATTTTAATGCAGATTTCAAATAGCAAATAACATAATAAAAATAAACACCATGAATTTATGCCATGCAAAAATGAAGCAATTTAAAGAAAAAAAAAGAAAAGAAAAACTTATGCCATGCAAAACTGAAACAATTTAAGCTAAACAGAAACTGCTTAGAATTTTAAAAACTCAATATCCTTAAAATTATTACTGTTGGCTAAAAGAGGCCACAAACTAATAGAAATGTTTAGTTGTATAAGAAAGCATACAAGTACTTTTTCTTAAGTGCATACAGAAAAAAGACCTTTACTGTTACATTCTAAATCTTTTCATATAAAAGCAGAGTTTCAAATGACCAGATTAAAAATTAACTTACTTCAAATGCAATAAAGAATCTGCCTTTATTTTTTTTTTTAAGAATTTGAGAGGTAGATATTTCTTTTATGGAAATATACAGGAAAAACCCAGCAAAGTTATGAGACAATTTTACAAACATTTGTAATAATCTATTTATTACTAATGTCAAAACATGAAAGTAGTGATGTTTTGGCTACAAGTCTGACATCAAATAACTCTAGCAAGTTTACTTTCATACAGATTACTAATACTTTGCAAAACTTTTAATTTAGGTTTTTGATATTGGCAGTTTCATAAGTTCACCATTAGTTTTGATGGCAAGAAAAAAGTTAAAGATTTTCTTTAATATGCACTAGAGAAAAATGCCTTTTTTTGTTTTAATCCAATTTAATTAGTATAAAAAATGCCTACAAGACCAATGCAAAGAAACAATGAAGTGTTAGATCTGAATGTGAGTGTCCGACTGCAGTATGTGTACTGAGTGGGAGTGAGTCAGGAAACAAAGTTTGAGTTACAAACCCGAACAACTACATGCAGAGTTTGCCCTGCAGACATGCTCCCTGTCAACATGCTGGGTGGTGCCTGTCTGAATCGTCCCTGGGCAATTGGGATGATGCGAAGTTTGCTTATCCTTATTCTCCCAAAGCTTGCGCAAATGATTGTAAGTGCTAGTTAGACATGTGCAGTCTTTTGCTGCAAAACAACAACAATAACAGAAATATAACAGAAGATGGAGATATACAACAGCACAAGGGCAGCTGTAACCATGACAACAGCACCTAGATAGGTGCAGCTGGTGCTAGGTGAGGAATGGTGGGAGGATGAATTGATGAGCAAGTGGTTGTCAATGGGAAACACCTTTAAAACCAATACTGCAGAGTAGGTGGTGCATCAGATTGAAGAAATCAAAGTGAAGTACTGCAGATGTGCCTCTTCCACTTAGAAAATTTGGGTGGAATTTCTATAAGCCTTTATACTTTTGTCAAACAGTTACAGGAAAGATGTTAAAATGTGTTGAATCTTGTACTTTTAAAACAAGAAAAGTACATGTTCTAAAATACAAGAAAAGCTGAATCCAGTATTATCTGTACAAAGCTTGCTAAGGTGAAAATAAAGTTAAAATACTTTGTCTATTCCATCCTTTTCATTTTTTTTTAAACAAGTAAAATTATATGCAAAAAAAAAAAAAAAAAAAAAAAAAAAAAAAAAAAAAAAGAAAGTTTACTTGATTACAGAATGCAATAAAATCTTTAATGGTGAGGTCATAATTTGAAAACATGATGACAAGAACAAATGGTGTATCTTGTTATTCAATTTGGTTCATTCTGCTGTTGGAGAAATGATAGCAATGGAAAAGATGCTATCAAGAGAAGCATATTACCTCTTAAAAGAGGAAAATGGTAAGCAATATGGATGTTAATTTGCATATAACCAGGCTGGAGTTGGAGCCAAACCCTTAGTCAAGTTATTTGATATTTAAATATGAGCAAAACCACAAATGTATTATTTCAGTTAAGAAATTTTAGCAGGAAAAGTAAAACCTGTGAAAATAGAGCTTTTTTTTTTATAATGAACAGTGAAATAACTGTTGTAAATTTTAAAACATTGTATTTATAAATTTTCTCAATAGAATTCAAGCTTGTAGAAATCCCTGCTATAACTTTGCTCTTGGAAATAAAGGAGTCTTATTTACTTTCCAAAGGATCTGTGAAAGATCAATAAGATGTTAATCTTGTGCTGTTGTTCCCAGAAATGAACATTAATAAGAAAATAGAAAGTATGGCTTGAGATAACAATAGGATCACAATAATATTTGGAGGGACTAGTTAGAAGAACAAAAAATGGCATCACTTTTGTTGACAGAGGAGAGGAATTCTGGGATAGGCAGGAAAGTGATAGGCACAAAAACAAAAAGAAAGCAAACATGCAAGCAAGCAAAAAGGATTTGACAAGAGGAAAAAAAGAAAAGGAAAATAGCTCTTAAAGTAAGCTTTACATGATGCCAAATAATATAATTCTCTTCAGAGTAACTTTAGTAACTATAAAAATTCCTTCCTTTACAGTTTCACTAAAGGACAGGAAATATGAGTTTTTAAAAAATTAATTAGAAAAAAAAAATGTTGATCTGAAAACCCCGTTTTTAATAATTATAATTAAAAAACAGTTTATACTTAAAGTTTATTGTAAAAAGAAAAAGTGTACACTGGGTTCTTTATTATTTAAATCACAGTTTCAATGGAAATCTAAGATTTTCCTGAAATTTAAATTTTTGCTTTTTAAAGACCAGAATTACAGAATAGAGTTTTCTGAAAATTATTGAAATTATCATAGGCATAATTTTTTTTTTTTTTTTTAAACAGCCACTTTCAGAAGAAACAGAATTATTTTTGTATTGTTTTATTGAAACCAGAAATAATATATTTCTATTCCTATTGACAAATAAAGATAAACCTTCAGTATGAATATTTTGCCCACTCCAAGTAGTCGAGTAGCAACTAGTATACACAAATTGATAACAATTCTCAATTTACCATCATGTTATAGTAGAGTTAGCACAGAAAATTTTAACCAATCACAATAACTTGAGTTCTGTGTTTTTGGGGAAAAATTACGTTTAGTCTATTTTTAATTGATTAAATTTAAAATATTCAAGTGTTCTTTTAAGATTTTATAAAAAATACAAGATTCTACTTGGCAAAAGAAATTGTCAGTGTGCAATTTCAATATGATACCTGCAGCAATTATTATTATTAGTAGTAGTAGTAGTAATGTGTATGAGTGAGTGAGAGAGAGACAGGAGCATATTATAATAATCTAAAATCTAAGTGAAGTGTTCTGTATTACATAGATACGACTATATGACCACATTGTGCATAGTGAGGTCTTGGCATTTTTATGATTTTCATTCATGAGAACAGCGCCAATAAAGCTACAGATTAGTGGTAGGAAATATATTTGGGCACACAACGAGCAAGGCAGAATGAGTGGTTGGTAATATAATTCAATAAACATTGGAAGATAAAAAAAAGGGAAAAAAAAAAAAAAAAAAAAGACCTGAAAGGGAGATAATCACACCATCACCAAAGGGAGACAATAAGAAAGAATAGTAACATTTATTGCCATGAGCCAACATAGGAATGATTGAAGGAAAGTGGAGACATTTTTGCTATTCCAAATATTAGTGTTGATAAGCAGAAATGGTGAAAATTACTCAACAAAAAAAAAAAAAAAAAAAAAAAAAAGGCTGAAAATACAAAAGAATTGTTAGATGCATGCAAATTAGTTCATTCGAATAATCAAATTAACTACTTTATTTCAAATTGCATTTCATATTTTTTTAAGACAAAGAATTTTAAATGTTCTAGAATAGCATCTTCAGTTCCCCCATGTTTTCATCTGCCTTAGTATGTTTTCTAGTATTTACTTGGCATTTTTTAACAGAGATATAATGTTAGATATTTAACTACATAAATGTGTGTGTGTGTATATATATATATATATATATATATATATAAGAAATAGCAAAAAAAAAAAAAAAAAAAAAAAAGAGAATTTCCAAATTCAAGGCAGCAAATTATTCCTACAAAACATCTGAATGGATGTTATTAGCTGAATAAAGAATATTATAAATAAAACGTTACTCTAAAGACATAACTATTGTAGATAGTCATTCACAAATTTTTCATCAACCAATTCTAATGATTAAAAAAGACTGACTTTAATATTAAAAGAATTAAATTAAAAAAAATCCAATGGTGGAGGGCTGAATTAAATTCAAATTATCTTTATGCATTAGAGCTCATAAGTCTTTAAAAAAAAAAAAAAAGAAAAAAAATCTCAGACCTCAAAACAAAAGACGTGCATACCTGAGCCACTATGTACACTGCCTGCACTTCCATTACCACCTCCACCTCCACCTGCACTGCCACCGGCACCAGCACCGGCACCACTAGCAGCGCTGGGCGGTCCGCAACCATCGACGAAGCTGCCCACGTAGCTGGTAGTATCAGTGCTGGTGTAGCAGTATGGCGGGACGTAGCTGAGGTTCTGAGGCAAGTAACTGGAACTACTATAAGGGTACTGGTTGTTCCAGGTTGGTGGAGGCAAAGGAGCTAACGTGTCCCGATCAGCTTCAGAGACAGAGTCCACGTCTTCCAAACTGAGAGAAGAGAAATCTGCACAGAAAGATAAACAGAAAGACAATACATAAGAAAAAGGATAATGAGAAAAATAAATTAAAAGAATAGAAAATAAGTCTGATTTAAGAGAATATAAAATTGATCATATTTTTTTAAGAGAATTATCTGGATGCAAACAAAAAGTTTTTATAAACATTTGGTAATAAAATTCCCAAAGTGAACAGCATTTATAACGTAACAAAACTGAACATATACTTGTAAAAATGTCTAAAATAGAAACAAAATTTTCTTTCATATCATTTTGAATGATATCATATTTCAATTGAATATTTGCCAAAAAAAATACAGCCAAGTTTGTTTTTAACTGAGATATTAAAAAAACTCAATTGAAAGACCCATATTTTTCAAATTTAAACCCACAATATTAGTCATATAAGTTTCTTAGATGAAATATTGTCAATCATATTTTTATTGCCAGATTACCATTTCTAACAAGTATCAAAATTATTTCTTATCTGTGCTGCTTACTTAATGATAGAATGCTAAAAAGCAACAGAAATGAGATTAAAAAAATACTAGTCAAAAAGAAAACTGAATAACCTGGAATTATGAAAGAAAGGAAACAGATTTTATTCTCACCAGTGTTGAAATTGAGTTTTGGGGTTGATAACTACAGTAAAAGTTATCTAACTTATTAGGTGAGTGAGGTCAACCTTTTTTTTTGAGCGGGTAATGTGACAATATTTAAAGTACAAGGTCTGCCTGGAACATATCCAACCATTTTGAATGTCACAACAATTGATTGCATGAGTTTGCTATTAACTTGTCTATTAATCAGATGGAACCTTACTGGGCATGAATGAACATACACTCTTCTATACAGTTACTCAGTTAGCAGTGAGATACCATTGAGTGGATTTGTGTTATTGCCACATCCACAATGGCCAAAGAATGAATAGATTCTTCATGAAAGGCACACCTCCTGCTATTTCCTTATTTTTTTTTTTTTTTTTTAATTATTTTTTTTTTTTTGGAAAACTCACCCACTCTGTGCAGATTTAATTCTTTGCAATTTTTGGCTTTTCCCATACTTAAATTAAAAATCATCAATGAAACACTGCAGACTAAAGACAACACAATGAGGCAACTGATGACAATCCTAGAATATGATTTTGCAAACTTTTCAAAAGTGGAAGAAGTGACAATAGGATAAACTGTTTGAGGTTGAATGGCAAATACTCTGAAGTGTACTTGGGTGCTTCTGCTCTCCCCTTAATATTTAATGGTTGGATACTTTCTTGACAGACCTAAACAATGCCATCAGAAGATTGGTCGCTAAACTGCCTTACTTGTGCCACTTTACAGAATTTTAATACGATATTCAGACTTCCACACAGCTGCTCAGTGACAAAAGTTGAAAGGAGCACATTGATTGGGGGGGGGGGGGGGTTATTGGCTGAAAATTTTCCCATCTGAAATACCTGAATAAATTAAAATTAAAAACTGGGCTTCTGAATATCATATTTCATGTTGGGATTTTTTAATATTTCTCACAGCTTTCAGAGAATACAAAATCTTTTCAGAATCATACAGAAATAGAGCCAGTTTTTGCTTTTCACCATCTGTGGTGTTTGCACTGCTGTCTTTTCAGTCATATAATAGTTATATAACAGAAAATTTACAGAAAACAGGAGTTAACTTTAATAAGCATGCAGGAGTTTATTGCAAGGTTATTGTGGTAAATAAATTGAAAAACAAATGGGTTTATTGGTTTCTAAAAATAAAAAAAAAAGCTTCTACTACATTTATCAAGCTAGATACTTACCCTTATAAGTAAAATGGCTAAAACTATTGTTAGTTAAAAGAAAAAAAAAGCATTAAAAATGGTGCATTACACTATAGTCCATGAGACCTTGAGCAAGATTTTACTGTTTAGTGTGAAAAAAAACAAAAAAACAATTCAGATCCTTTGCTTAAATTGAACAGATTTTATCACCTTTTAAAGCTCTTTTGTTTTTATATTTCCATTAACACCAAAAGTCATAGCAAATATAATTGTTCCTTGAAAATATTGCTGAATTTTAAAAATTTATATTTCTATATCTTTATATTACTGAGTTAAACCTTCAGTGAAACAAGCTATTATAAACAAGGTACAATCTAGCTACTGTAACAAATCAAGTAAATTTTTCATATTTGTTTTCAATATTTTTTTTCTAAAACCAATGATCTTTTCAAAATAAAGATTATTTCTTAGACACAGCTACATTAGTAACAATAGCATATGGTTCTCCTTAAGAACACTTGTTTGTGACACATAACAATATTGCTATAAAGAAAGAAATGAATGGAAATGAAGTCTGGTAATGACTGCCTGAATAATAAACACAGATGAAAATAAATCTGCAATGTGAAAATGAAGGCAGAATGTCAAAGGATGAATTAATGAAGCAAGCTGGTACATTGCATTATGATATATTTCAGGCCAAGCAAGAAGAGAACTGACATTACATTAAATATCAATTACAACATACATTCATGTGATTAATAGAGCAGCATTGTGCACATACCCACATACATAATAAAAGTGTCCTTATCACAAAGCAGAACTTTATTATGAACAAGTTCTGATAGCAATGACACTAACAGCATACATGCACTCATTCATTTTACAACCTGAAAACTCATACCAATACAAGTATGCACAAATATTTACAGATCAGAGAGAGAATGTTGCTTAATGCCAATTGTCAGGTAGAGAAACAAACCATTTTATTAAAATATAAAAGTTGAGAGCAAAAAATGTCAGTTTGTCATTTGACAACAGCTCCAAATATAAAGAAAATGCATAACTAGTCATTTTAAGAGGCAATCTTTTATTAAAGAATATCTATTAAGATATTTTTAATAATTTTCCTCTTCTAATATCATGAAGCAACAGAGATCAAAATTAAAAGCGAAAATAAAGTTTACAACAATGTAGTAATACAGAAGCCGTTTTGCATATGGTTTGCAGAAGAGCAGGCAAAAACCAGGTGTGCAGTTGGTGCTGAAAATGTGGCTCTAAATCAATAGTATTTAATAGAAAATAACTTTTTTGTAATCTGGATAAGAAGTTACTTTATCAAAGAAAGGAGTAAAATAAGATAAAAGCAAGAAATTTCATGATAAAAAGAACTGCAAGTTGACAACCATTCTTGCATTGTCCAAGATGGTGGTAACTAATGTTAGTACAATTTATAATAAGAGAGCATCAAAGAGCACAATATCCTCTGGCATAATGGTCAGGCACTTAATAAGAAAAATATATTAATATAGTTTCATGCTATTAGTCAAAGAATCACAGATGCAATATGGACTGGCCATAGTGACTGGACAGGGTCCTTATAAAAACATGCAGTGTAGGAAGAGGTGTATGTAAAATATTAGATGTATGTCAAAGTTCCCAGCAACATTTACCCCCACCCCGCCCCCAAGAAACTGAATACACAGTATAAAAATAAATAAAAAATAAAATGAAATTCTGGAAACTTTTGCATACACCTAATATATAATTTAAATTGTTTTAAAGAAAATTCTAGTGTTGTTTATTTCTTGACACATCACATTCAGTCACAGATGACATGCCTGTTGTTAATGATGTAATGCATGTAAGAGGTAGTTGAAAGCAGAGCATTCATCCCTGTTCACTTCCTGAAGAGTGAGAAGGGAGTGAGATAATATTAGAAAGGAAAGAGAGAAATAGAGCGAGCTGATGATGAAGCATAAAAACTAACCTGGAAGGGCTTGGACACCTACAATGATGACGGTTTATTAAGACGTGATATCAAATGATGGTGAGGAACAAAATGATAAGACAATTGCCATTAGCAGACAGGCTACATTGCTTATTCCAAACAATATTAACAACTCAACATACACGTTCCATAAGTGTCATAAAAAAAAAGAAAAAAAAAGTCACCTCACCCTACCTCCTTGAAAAAAAACTAGAGACTTTCCTTTAGAATTTATCATATACATATAAGCATATATAACTTTTTGAAAATAATTTATTAGATGTATCTCTCAGTTTTCACTATAAATGAAAAGGTAAAACTATAAGTGAAAAATGTTTTTCAGAATAAAAATATCAATGGGCAAATTGTTTATAATGTATTACAATTTAATTCCCTTATATTTCTTTAATATATTCAATAAATACATAATTATTAAAAGTAGTTGCTTAGCTACATTAACTTGTCTCACCAGATTTTTACAATTATTGGAAGAAGTACACTTTAGCCAAATCTCGAGATGCCTTAAAATTTCTTACTTTAAAATAAGTCAGCTTTGTTTTTTAAGAAACGAACCTTTCCTAATTTGTAATTTTTTTTTTATATTTATGAAAAAGTGAAAAACAGCATATGAAACACCAGTAGAAATTACTGAAACCAACAAATTTACTATGACTGAAATATAATTTGAAAATACAGATAAAATCCATATTAAGAAAGCTGTTAAGGATACCAATCTTATATTTAAAATAGAAAAGATTTTACTTTTAATCTGCTGAAATTATTTAAGGCTTTAATCTCTTTAATTATTTGATCATATTCATAAAGAGGACCTAAATTCTATAAATGTTTATACAATGAAGCTGCATCAAGCATCAAGAAGGGTGAGAGTTACAAGGGTGACAAGGCAGGCACAAATTACAAGAGAGACAAGGAGTAGATCTAATCAATTAGTGATCAGGAATGCAAAATAACAAGACTGATACAACAATACAAAATTGGTGAGGCTACAAATTGGCTTGATTGACTATTCACTGGAATAAAAAAATATATCAACTTTAAATTATAAAAAGAGAAAAAAACAAAAGATATTTTCATATTGCCTGATCAAATATAGGCAAGATTTTCATGTAAAGACTTAACCAAATGCCTTAATTAGGCAGAAATCATCATACAACAGCATCAAATAGAAAATTGATCAAGTATAAATGAAATCTTAAAAAAAAATATCCAATCAAAAACAGTTATTTAAATAAACTACTGAACTAATATAATTGGTTTTATTTTTTAAATGAGAAAATATATATATATATATATATATATATATATATATATATATATATATATATAAAATCACAGGATGTTATATTTATATTATATTGTAATATTTAAATTATAATACTCTTGGGTAACCTAAATTGTATAGATTGCACTACTGATTGATTGAAAATATTACATTTGATTTACATGATTATTTTATTGCAGTTGAATGGTACCTATAAATTTATGAAATGTTTTTTGTTTTTTTAACTTGAAAAATTTATATATTACTGAAATTTTTTTTTGTTTTTTTTTAAAGGAGTTTATGATGAAACCTGTACAATGTGCAAAGCAGCAGAATTCTACCTGGGTAGGAATAAATGAAATTACAGGTTAAAGTCAGAGCAGATAAGGAGAGCCCAGAAAAATAGAGCACAGGGAAAAGTAGCAGCAAGCTTTACTCTTTTTGTATTTCCATCTAATAGTATTCTTCAGATGAAGAACAATTGTTTTTACAAATGCATTAAAATAAAAAAAAATAAAAAGACACATTGAAACAATTTTAAAATGTATCCCAATTTCAATAGTTAACATGAATTGTAGAATTATTTTATGTGCTTTGAGGACTATATATATATATATATATATATATATATATATATATATATATATATATAATTAATCAATAATCAAAATCTGTTACTCAGACTTTCATGTGATAACAATCATCAGGCAAAAACCTGATGATTGTTGTCACATGAAACTGAGTGGCAGATTTTGTGATCATTGAATTAACAATGTTATATTTAGGCTCTGTTGGCTTTGGCACTGAGCCCTCAGTTTATTTTATATTTTAAGCTTTAGCTTTTATTCTTACTATTTACGTGTGTTTATATATTTATAAAAATGACTAAGATGATTTGGTCCCTGTTCTGTTTTTGCTGCAGAAAGACAAAAGAGAATTAGATGCATTAAGCAAAGGGAATAAGTTCAGTTTGGCAGCTTGTGGTAAAAGGGAGCATGCTTATCTTGAAATTATCAAAGGGTGAAGCAAGATAAAAATCAATCACAATCTCACATGATCGCTTCATGAAAAGAGGCTCAAAAGTACAGCTAGGAATCTTGATTATTTCCTGTTAATGCATAATGAAGAGGAGAAAAAAAAATATTTAACACAAAACCTAAACTTTGGCCTAAATCTGTTGAAGTTTGATTGTTGCTTGTGGGGATTTTCTCTTTTTTTAAATTATCTTCAGTAAAAATAATATAACTGTGTAAAAATGACTAAGAAGCATAATGAAAGGTATTAAATGGACCAAAAAAAAAAAAAAAAAAAAAAAAAAAAAAAAAAAAAAAAAAAAGTAGGTGGGTGTACCTTTTATAGATGGTTGAGTCTTTTCTATGTTCTTGTAAAAGGCTGAATAATGGTATACTTCTACCCTCAATTTTATATAAAATGCGTATCACAATTTTTGGTTTTAATTTATTCTTTGTGTACACAGATTTTATTGCATTGGAGATATTTATATATTGCTAATGGTTTCCATTCTCTTAAAATTTTTGTTTTGCAAAATATATATATGTGTGTGTGTGTGTGTGTGTGTGTGTGAGTGAGAGAGAGAGAGATTTAATAAATATTGTGGATGGCTTTAATAGGTCTTTATTCAGATAGGGACATTAAGCAGTTGTAAATCTGATTTTATGTACTGAAAAAGCACAATAGTCTTGTTTTTTTTTAATGGTCCTATCAATTTTTCACTTTTTTGAAAACAGAAATCCCAGTGTGTCAAGATACTTATCTTGCCTACAACAAATTTATTTATTTTTTAAAGAGTGAAATGTTACTTGCTTTGAAATCTGGATAAAAGGTAAAAACAAGCTGAAAATACTTACTTCCACACAGGTTTCCAAATACATAATAACATTGTTCAGAAAATGTGATTTTGTTGACTGTATGTCGAATGTAACCCACTTTGAGTAAATTACATGCATATTTCCTGGCATCTCGACGATCAGTAAAGCCTTCTACATGAGCAAACAGCCAATCAACTAAATCAGCACCTATGAAAATAAAAATGAATTGGAAAAAAAAAAATTAAATTACAGAAGATTAACATTGTCAGAAAATATTCTTCCAAATTAGAGAATCATTTTTTTTATACACAAGATTCTTCTTCCTTTATTTTTGTATGAGTAAAATCTCATAAACTACAGTAGAGTATGTTACTTTGTTTGAAACTTTGAAGTCAATTCAAGATAATTTTAATTTAAAACGTCAATAGTCCTTTTATTCCTTTTGTCTAGGTATTTATCTATTTAGCAAGTTGTACCTGAATATGCACACATTTCACTTAATCTTAGAAAATTCCAGCTTTCATTTAAAGCATAAAACTTATTGGTTTTTATATCATTGACTTTTAAATAAAAAATTCTTGTCATCATTTTTGTATAGACAAGCACAAATTTACATCAAGAGTGAAAAAAAAAATATGGATACTAAAAGCATGTAATGAATTTAATAACTTGCATTAGTCAGAAGCATAAAAAATCCTCCCAAATTATGTTCAATTCTTCCTATAGAGTAGTTTGTAAAGGCAGTTTTTCAAGGAATTACATGTAGATGTTAAAAATTCCAAGGCAAATTTCATAGGTCAGCCTTTCCTGGCTGATATATATATAAGAAAAGGCTAAAATGCCAACCAAGGTTTCAACCTTGAGGTATATTAGAGTTGGTTTCTTTGGATTGTACATTCTTCCACTTGCTTGGTTGGCGTTTTAGCCTTTTCTTAAATATCTTTGCTCTACATATTCGATTTTGAATTTTCTTTTGAGCCCTTTTTGTTGTCTATATCTTTTAGGTGCAGCTGCTTTCAGTCTTTCTTTTACACTTAAAGACCCTAACAGGCAAGCTGTTGCCTGTACAATATATTTTCAGTGTTTTTTTTCTTCTTTTTTCTTTCTTTTTAGCTTAGAAAAGAAAGGATAATACCTCTGTATATAAAAAAATATGAAATTATCTGTGTTACATGGATTGCTGTGAATAAGTTGGTCAGATCAATATAATTTCTGCCATTTGTTGGTTTTCATTAGAGATAAAAAAAGAAGTCCCTTTGCTTATTATACATGAATTGTACACCAAAAGAAAGCCATAGAAAAGAGTGTAATAATAACAAAATGATATTGGAATATTAATGCTTTTTTTTTTTTTTTTTTTTTTCCACCCTTACAAAAATATCTTTACAAACTAAAGAGTAGTGATAGTCAACTAAGCAAGCTGTGACAAAGCATTTCGATTAAATATGATTTAATGAAAAGTTACATTGCATGATATGAAGTAATATTTCTTTGCATTAGAATAATTTTTTATTTTATTTTAAATAAAACAAAGCATTTTATAATGTTAGATTTATGAACACAAGAAATTAACAACTTACCTATAAATGCATTTGGTATAGTTATTTTTAACCACATTCTATCCCTGATTTCAAGGCCGGAATCAGCTTGAGCCATTGCCTTTACAACGGATTCCATATCTGTATTTACAGTCAAATTTAAATCGTCAAACCCTGAAATAAACCACAATTAGATAACATTAGGACATTGAAAATATCTTACATACAATATATTAGAATGTATTTGTTATTAACGTTTTTGTATTTTATTTAAGTTTACTATTTTGAAATTTCACAATTAGAATCAAAGAAAAAATAAATTAAAAAAAAGGTAAAATAATACATCAAGATTTGTGACCTTTTTTTTTTTTTTTAAAATTTCTGATTATCTTTTATTTCCCATTGGAACAACACAATTTACTGCAGCAAAAATGAACCAAGAATAAAAAGAGAAATTTGCACTGTCAGCATATTTTATTGCCACTGTATCATGCATAATTTGCAATGTGCTACCATTTTAATTTACTTGATAAATTTGATAAAATCTAGTTTAATTCTGATATTGCTTGACTAAAGCATGCAATTTTATGTTTGTTTATTCCTTGATTAAAATGTTTTAATTCATGCTTTTCTGGAAAGTAATTGTAACAAATAATTTAAGCTACGATCCCCAAAATAGTTATATTGATATTTTTGGCTTCTGTTTTAAGAATGTGAGCATAAGCAGTAAATGTATTAAATACTGGCATCTACAAATTGGCCTGTGTGTGTGTGTGTGTGTGTATCTTGAACAATAAAATGTTCAACTGCTGTAGGAACATAATAGCAACTGTTTAGAAAAGCAAATCAGATAACAATGCAATAAAGATAAACAAGAGAATTACATTTATTTGAATAAAATCTGAAAATGTATTTTATAATAATCAAAACAAATCATTACTAGATGTGACTTTCTCTTATTTTATTCTACAAAATCATAGGAAAGATTTTTTTTTAATGACCGATTAATAAATAATGCTTCTTTTCAACAAGAATATTGTGATAACTGAATATATAAAAACAAAATATCTGTTATCTAGTGTATTTGAAATACTAATAAACAAAAGACTGCAGTTACTTACTTTCTGATTCTGGTATTGAACTAGTTAAGGACGAACTGGTAGATGTCATGGTACTAAGTGAAGAACTGACTGGTGCTCCACGCCCCATATATTCTGCACGCATAGCTGTGGTGTGTGCCACCCAAGCTGATGGATCTATTGGACGCACAGGTTCTTGGCGAGGTACAGTGAAGTAGCCCTTTGGGTTTGGGTCCCAGCATTTGGCAACGACTAGTGTGATGGGCCTTTAATGTCATATGAAATAAATGATAAGCAATATTATTAATCTCTTCTGTTTAAATTTCATATAGTTGAAAAGATATGAACAGATATATTTAAAATTTGAATCAGATATTCACATTATTTTATGATAGAATCACAATACAAATCATCACTTTGTATTGAAAGTTAGAAATGGAGCCCCCAAAAATTATTTTACATCAATTATAAAATTATCAATCTGTGTAGATTTTTTTTTTTAATTTTTTTTTTTTTAATAAATATTGCAGATAATAAATGTTGCTACCAAACTGTATTCATTTAGAAGTGATTGACGTGCTTCATGAAAAATGACCAACAAGTATGGTTTCAAATATTTTTGTCAATTTCTTTCATTTACATACAAGGGAATATATGAATGGGTCCAAAGAGTACAGATATTATCTGATTATTGTCTATCTGATTATTTTCAACATCTGGTGTTATCTACATAACTTCAGAACTCAAAAATAACAATTTAGTAGTTTCTGGTAATTTGGTGCAGTTTGATGAGGTTTATTTCTGCATTGTTGGTAGAGATAATTTTGATATATTTTCATAATTTGTTAATGGCATTTTTTTTTTTTTGATTTTAAAAATTTTATCTGGTCAACTCAGTCTTAGAAATACTAATGTGCTGCTTATGACTTATGTCTGTTAATATAGAATTCTGTGATTTTGGTTTTAGTCAAGATTGAGAGCATTTTATATTGTGGTGAGATCTGTTTTTGATACATTGGATAGCACTTCTAAGTTTTTTTGAAGTTAAATTTTATTTGTAAGTTAGTTATTTATGGGGTTAAGAAAGTTATTTTGTTAATTGATGTGATTATGCTCTAAGATTGATAAATTAAGTCTTATAAATTCAGCAAGAAAATTTTACCCTTATAGAAATTGTTAAGTTTTTTGTTCATGTTATGATTATAGGTGTTTTCTTCCTTTTTATGACATGGGTGATGTTACATTGGGTTTAATTGATGTCCACAAAGTTTTAAAAATGTATTTGAATAAAGGATAGATGACATCTGCATAATCTTGTCTATACCTACTGAATCTAAACATGTGCTCAATTGTAAACAAGTTAACTTTGGTAAAAATTCTTATCTACAGTTTTTTTAATTAAACATGCATCAATGAAAAATTGCTGTCTAAATGCAAATTGTTTAAAATAATGTATAATTTTAGATTTAGCCTATTTATTTGTTACATTTTATTGTGGATCTAGCTAAAACAAAATTTAAAACAGACTATTCATAAAAAATACCCCAAAAAAACAATATTTCAAAAACCTTTATAGTGTGTATGTAACAGGATACCAAAAAATAAAAATATAGTAAACAAATGAATTTTAATTTTTTTATATTTGAATGTAAAGAAAGCTTCTGTACCCAGGTTTTTGGACAGCTTCACGTAGAGTTCTGACAGCATCATCATTACTCATGTTTTCAAAACTAATACCATTCACCTCCAGTATCATATCTCCTGGCTCAATACGGCCATCTTGAGCCACAGCACCACTGAAAATAAGGGAGGAGGAAGAAAATTAAAATTATAAAATCTTGGTTGCACACAACAAAGAAAATTGCCTACAAATATACAATGCATATGTAAATTACTATTAATTTATCAAAAATCAGATCAATAGTTCTAACAAATCATTTGTATTTGAAGTAAAATATTGTTCTAACCTTTGAAATTCTTTTTAACTACAATATACTTGAATTAATATTATATTGACTTATCAAATATTCCAATCACTTTTATATTTACTAAACTGTATACATACTGTGTGTATTTATGTGTACACGTTGTCTATGAAAACGAGCAGATAAAATACAAGTTAAAATTTTGATAATAAAATAAACATGTTAATCTTGAAATGGTTTGATTTCAATTTATATTGAATGCTAAAACCACAGGACCCATGACATACTTTAACAGAAAATGAACTGTTTTGATATGAAACAAGAAATAAATACTGAACTAACCCTTTCATGATGGAGCCAACATAAATGCCTCCATCACCACCTTTGTTGCTTTGACCAACGATGCTGATACCCAAAAAGTTCACCGTGTCTGTTGCAGACAGAGAGAGGAATAGGAGGAAGAGAAAGAAAAAAAAAAAAAAAATGAAACTTGGCACATAAAACAACAGAGAGGTAAAAAATCTTCAACATTATGATTCCCAGGAGCACAGAAGAGCAAAGTTTTATTAAAATTATCATATACAAACTTATCTGATCAACATAAGAAATTGTGTTTTAGTCAGCCAGTAATTTGCACTTTTAAATGTAATATTTTGACTTGCTAGCAGGAAAAGAGACAATGTAAACTGATTCTTAGAAACATAGTTTTAACATATAAATTGATAGATACAAAAGATTTTTCATTTCCATTAATTTTTTTTTTTTTTTTAATGGTAATCAATGATGGTAAATCTAGACCATATAAAAAATAGAAAAGTTCTCTCCCTTACGCAGGTGAGTTCCATGCTGTCGGTTAGAATGATCTATAAAACCAAATTTTGAAAAGAAATCAGATGTTTAATTATGAAATAGTTTTATCTTTTACTGTTAGAATTTCGAAAACTAGTGTGAAAACTAAGAAATTATATCAGGTAATACATTTTTTTTCTCGACATTCTACAAAAAAGGATGCTAGAAAAAACATCAAATGATTATCTTGCCTTTCTCAAAAAGGCAGCTTTATCACTTGATGACAGATGAGTCATTTTAGTGTGAATTGCAATGTAGGAATGGTCTCCCCTGTAACCCCTTAAGGAATAATTTTCTAAACTTTCATTCTATTTATATACATAACAATTTAAAATCAGAGCCTGATTAAAATTAAATTCTTAAGTGAACACATATAGAAAATTTTGTGGTTTGAAGAAAAGTTCCCAAATCCATTGTTGTGTTGACTAAAATAAAAACAAAGATTAAATCTAAGTACCATCAGAAGATTTAGTTTGATGAAATTTATGATTAAATCTTTTACTTTTAGATTGTATAATCTATTTTAGCTCCTCAAAGAAAATCTCTCATGAAATGATTGTCCTATAATTCTATAGTAATAAGCCTTCTTTACTCATTATCAAGGCTTACAGAATTTAGCATTTACTGGACACACTGAAAGTAGAAGATAGCTGTTGATAACCTACTTGACAAGCTTTTGTAAAATGAATGAAAAAACAAGTTTCACAAAGAGGAATAAAGAAAAAAAGGATTATAAATGAGAAAGTATTGCAGCAAAAGACAAGAAACTATAAAGAATCATGACTGTCCAAGTCTTGAAGGGACATGGTGTGCGCACACACACATTCTCAGTGCTCAAGTGCTGCAAATTTACATCACAACAGATTTTAAGGTGTCATTTCAATATGAAATCTTACAAAATATATGAACAAATGTATGCATTATGAGTAGAATATCCCTTGTGATAAACTTATTACTTTTCATTAATTTTAGATGACAGTTTTAAAATATTTGCCACCAACAATATTTGAACTTTTAACCCTTTGTGCTTTAGTGACTTTATTGCATTGCTTGGGATGAAATGAGTAAAAATACAAAAAAAACTCCTCAGTCAATTATCCAAGTTGTCTTGATTATTTGATTTACAACTGATTTTATCTTAAAAGTGAAAAATTACAAGATCAATATCAGTGACTAAACTATTTGTGTAATATTTAAGTATTAGCTGCATGATTTATTGATCTAAGCAAACTCTCTTCTGACTGATATCCAAAGTCATAACAGACAATTTAACAGCAATTATCATCATTTGAAATACACATTTAACATACACTATTTCATAGCATCATGTATGAAAATAAACCAACTTTGATTTTTAAGTATTTATTTTTGCAGTTCAACTATTATGAATATTGATCACAATAGTTTGGAATACTATTTAAAATGTTTTAACAATTAAACTAGTTTTTAAATTAATAAGTTATGAGACATTTGACAATATTCATGAAACATACATGCAGGAGCATAGTGACAAATGCTACATTTGTGCTTTGACAATTATATGTGAAATTGAAACTAATAAGATTGCAAGAACACAATCTTATAAACACATTTTAAATTAAGATTAGAGAAAAAATGCTGTAGTGAGTTAAAACAGGATTAAGCAAAAAGGAGAAATGAGAGAGAGAATGTGAATGAGAGCAAATGTGTGTGTATATATATATATATATATACACACACACACAAGTCATGATGATAATGCCAGGCATAATCTGATATGAAAGTCAATAAATGTCTAATAAGGAAAATGTCTTTCACATGTTAAACCTCAAGGAGAGTATGAAAGTATGTATACGTAGATGAGGAAAAACATCAGGTCATAGACAACACAGTTAATTACTTTTAGTGTTGATGGTTGATTACTGAGATACTGAAGCAGAAATAACCGATGACACTGTCTGTAGAGGGAGGTGTGGAAGTGAAAATGACATTCTCACATGAAGATTCTTGCCTTGCAAGAACAAATTAAAATAATTTATTAGATGAACTTCAATGTTTAATATTTTCATTTAAACACATGTTTATATGTATATAAAATTTGATAAAAATCATCTGAAGATACCATAAGGTTGAAACCAAGGTAGCAGATTCAACTGACCTCCTGATTTTTAAAGTTAAAAGCTCTACATGTTATTTTTACTTTTGTTTTTTCCCATGTGTATGGAGCACTTTTTAATACTACTGTTTCCTGGTCTGATTCAACTCTGATCATTAACCTTTTATGTATTATGTTAGATATAAATCAGTTTAAATATATATTTGTCATCTTTGTTATTGTTGGATATGTCCACTATGAGATTCCTTCCCTTCCACATCTTATTTGGTGGAGTTCAGTCATGTAGTAGATAAGTTTTGAACGTCAATGGTAATTTTGAACAAGAGCAAGTAAGAAGGTGCAAGTCACTCATGAGCAATACATTTTGAAATGGAATTAGGGTTCAACTGGAACTTCACTATTAGGAGAAATGGCAAGACAACAAGGAAATATGTATAAAAATTGGTCAGCAAGGATTACATTAATAGCAGCAACAAAGAAAACAGTAATTTGTTGAATATCTTATTGAATAATAACAGAATCAAAACTATATAATTATGAAAGTAGAGACTTTAGAAATCCATGGATTTCTAAAGTCTCTGCTTCCATAATTATCATTTGCTCTGTTCTTTCATTGAGCTCTCTCTGGAGATATATATATGTGTGTGTGTGTGTGTGTGTGTGTGTATGTAATATTCATCCAAATGTTTGTTTTTGAGCATTGCTATCATAAAATAATGACAAAAAAAACAAAAAAACTTTATACACATTTTCAAAAGATTTATATTTTGCATATTACTTAGACTGACATAATTATGCCTTACAGGTACACTTTTCACACATTACATATAATAAAATCCTCTTTTCTGAATTAATGCTCAGATGATGCGCAACAAATATTTTGATACAACTTTTGCCTACTATTTTTTTGGACTACTCCAACCTAAATAGTCAGAATTATTTATGTTTCATCTAAATAATTATAGTTTATAATCACATCTTAACTGCTAAATACCATTCATTACTAGAAATTTATGTAAAAAATTTAATGTTGAAGAAAATGCACATGGAATAGAACTAATTTGGCACGAATGAAAGACTAAGTTTAAGAAAAATTTAAAAAATTAATTTTCAATCTGTTGTTAAAAAAAAAAGAAAAAGAAAAAAAAAAATTACAACGGAATGACCAAACAATTTATTTAGACATGAAAAAAATAAATATTTAAACAAAACAAATGTATACTCAAAATAGTGATGCTAATTACTTCAATTATTATAAAGTAGCCAGTTCATACAGATGATATAAGATCAATGAAATTATATTATTTCTTAAATTTTTGGATGATGATCTTAAATGTTTTTTTTTTAAATATAATATTTTGGCCATTCATTGATCTTTTTCAAGTCAGTCTATGTTATATTAATTCTAGAATTTAGACCAAATACATCAGACACAGGAAGAAAATATTGGCTGAAATACTTAAAAACAAAGACTACAGAATATATAAAATAAAGAAAAATCCAGAAAACAAAAGAGCATAACTGGAAAATTTAAATTGTAAAATGAATAATAAATATTCAGAATTGCTTAAATGATAAAAGAAGTTTTCTATATTAAAGGTATATATTTTTTTATTCTGAAATCATCACTCTCATAAAAAATACAAACTCTCTCAGAGATTTGATCTTCTCCTCAATAAGCCCAATTAATTTCAAGTTTCCCTTTAGAATGTTATTGGTATGCAAACGACTTAGCTTTCTTTAATATATAAAGATATTGTTTTTAAAGAAACTTAGCTCATATTACATTGCTCATGATGAATCTTGAGGAATCTCACGAGTTTTAAAGATTCTTTGTCAGCAGCCAACTCCTTATAGTTACTAAAAGCGTTGTAGATAATGTAACCAATTCACTGCTGCAAATCAAATCTTATTTAAATCATTCTGGAAGGTTTTAGTGACTGAAAAATGTATTCATTTTTGCTCAACCAATGCTCACTGAATGTAGCCATTTTTAAGATACAAAACAAATGAAAAGGCTTACCCATGTTTAACGTAACAGTGATTATGTTCAGTGACATTGTTGAATCTGTGATACTGCTGAAGGAAGACGTCTGAAAGGGGGAGAAAAAAAGCATTTTTATAAGAATGACAATCTTTAAAATAAAAGCAAGGAAAAAAGCAAAGATCATATGAATTAAAAATTAATCAGTAAATATGATTTGTTTTTAGGTAGATATTTTTCAGTATTAAAGAAAAAAATGTGTGTGTGTGTGTGTATATATATATATATATATATATATATATATATATATATATATATATATATAGCTCAGTAAATGCAAATATTATCCAGAACTTTCAATATGTTTCATTTGTATTTTTCTTTTAAATTATATTTTAACTCAAAAGTAATGTAATGTTATTGGTGTTCTGAATAAAAGCTACTTTTGAGAAATAATAAAAGATTAAAAGGTATTCACCTCACTCAGATAAATTCTGTGATATAACCAAACCAGCAGAACACTTAGATAACAGTTTTCTTTTGATTCTATAAAAATTAGAATGTTACCTTGCTAAGTGGAGGAAGTCTGTGTCTTTTTCGTCTCCTTTTGTGTCGGCCATACTTTGAAGACCTTGCTGTTGTATCAGTGACTGTTGAAAACCTAAATGAAAAAAATAGTTCATTATTTACACTATTTGCAAGTATTGTCCTCATCTTTGAAATTTGGACAAAGTATCAAAAGCTTTCCAGCAATGGATTACTCAACCCATGCACACATGGAACTGTAGCTCTGAGTTACATACAGGGTGAGAGGAGTAAATTGTTGCCATTTTATACTTTTAATCTTGCACATGCATGTTTTTTTTATTTTATTTTGTTGACTGCACAGTAAAGTAGGGTCAGTTGGGTACTGTCTGTAAGAAGCAGCGCACTATGTTGCAATTCACTTCGCCAGAAATTTGGAAACAGCATACTGTATTGCTTGGCATTTGCACTGGAAGCTCCAATACAAACATTTCAGAGTGGGTGTTAATCTGAGGACAGTGCAGAGGATTCAAAAAGAGTTGGAGGAGTCTAATGATGATTACGAAGATATTTAGAATGATCACTAGTGATGTCAATGTTATGCCTTTGTTCATCTTCCTACAGGGTTTCAGACTCAACACGGAGACCGACATAAAGTGTCTTGTGGAGGTACTGCTGCCCTGGGTCAAGAGGGTGGCTGCTGGAAGACCCTATGTCTGGCAAAGGACTCTGCATCATGCCACACAAGCAGGAAAACTCAGTTATAGCTGTCAGAGAATTTCTGTTACCACATCACCCCTCTTACATCTGGTCATCTAACTCCTGAGACTGTAACCTCCTTGATTATTATGTGTTAGGCACAGTTGAATGAGAGACCAACAAAACTCCTTGTAATACAAAAGATGAACTGAAGGCAAGGATTATGGCAGCATTCACCAACTCAAACAAGGAGACTGTCCAGAAGAGTTGAGGAAATTCTAAAGTTGTCTGGAGGCCATGGTTGAAGTCAATGGCGATTTTATTTAATAAATTTACTCTTTAGTATTTCAAGTTGGAATTTTGGTAAACATATGCCAAAATGAGATGTCAGTATTATTTTCATTTTTGCGTAATTTAGACGACAATTTATCTATCTCACTCTGTTTAACATCAACCTAAAATTAACCAACATATTTCCTTTTAATTTCATGTAATCTTGTCTATATGTAATTTTATCTCTGAATATGACAAAGTGAAATTAATAAAACAGTTACTTCAATACATCAAGGGATTAATTACTAATACTTAAAGGAGACAGTTTTCAGTTTAATAAAGCATCAGTGGTCATTAAGCTCGATACCAAATTGTATTTACAGAATTTATAATTTGCAAACAAGGGACATAGCATTAATTATTAATGCTATTTCCCTTGTTTAATATATCTGCAGTTATCTCCCTTGAGAAATAAGATTATTTGCATTGAACATGACTACATAATACAGAGATGATTTTTAAACAAATAAGAGAAACTTTTCTATAATTAACATATTTGAGGTTTCACTGGTCTACATGAAAGCTTCAAAAACAAAAATAGCCAATCTTAGCTAATTTGGGGCAACAGAAATAAAATAAAAAATCCCAAATTGTTGATTGGCTCCAGAATTTAAGGTACAGTACTAGTGTTAATGAATATTTCATCAAAATTCTTGTCCTTGCCAGATTAATTATTATTTTCCTAATAATTTTATTATATATAATTATTCTCCTAATAAACTAATTATTATTCTCCTTTCCACTCAGGAAGAAAAACTAAGAAGAAAAAAAAATCTGTCTTTTGCAGTGCCCATAATTTGGAGAAAGCTGACCGATCATGCCACCAATTGCTACTTCTGCATCGTACCTCTAATTGCCAATGGACCATCAAAGAAAAAAAAAAGAAAAAAAAAAAGGACAGTGAAATATGCAAATATTCCACCAGCTTCAACACTGGAATCATAAGAAATTGAGTCAGATGATGGGAAAGAAAATTAAACCTTAGAGTCTGAACCATCAATTTTATATAACCAAGATTATTGTCCAACATCAGTCTCTGAAACACACTTCTTAACTCAAAGTAACCTAAAGGACTTAGTGATTTGGAATTTCCTAAGAGTAAAGCAGAAATTTTAGGTTCCAGCAAGGATCTAGTCCCATTCTTCCTTATAGGTGATTTGGTGTGCTGCAATGATATTCGTCGTCTTATGCAATCACTCAACATCAGTTACAATCCAGAACAATGGAGGTGGTCATGAATTGCTTGAAGACAACTCTCAAAGCTGTCTTGTTACACAACGGTAATATTTTACCTTCAATTCCAGTTGGTCATGCAGCCAATGTGAAAAAACTTATGACAATATAAAACAACTACTGAGATGTATTAACTGTGCTCAAAATAATTGGTAACTTTGCGTAGATTTGGAGGTTGTTTGTTTCTTGCTTGTTTTCTTTGTGAAAGGGGTGGCCGAGACTGAAATTCTCATTACATCAAGAGAAACTGGCCACTATGACAAAACCTGGGAGGAAAAATATTCAGCATCCACCACTAGTTGCCACCTCTTTACATCAAGCTTGGTCTTATGAAAATTCTTGTGAAGGTTATGGACAAAACAAAGGCAGCATTCAAGTATGTGCAGAATAAATTTCCCAGGATAAGTGAAGATAAAGGCATCTTTGTTAGTCCCTAGATTTGTAAACTCCTTTTGGGTTAAAATTTAGACAGAGTATGACATAATTAACTAAATATCTCTAAATCTAAAGCCAATCATTTAATTTGAAGGTCATTTTTGAATTCAGCATGCCAAAATACATAAGAATTGGCACATTTAATTTCTGAAGTAATCAACTTGTGAAACACTGTAGACTAGTGTTATCAGATTATTGGGGGTAAGCACAAATGAAGACTCCACACTATTATTAAGTTATAAATTGAATTAGGATTTTAACAGGCTTCTGCTAATAAAAATATCACTAGAATGTGCCATTTTTGATGTTATGGTAACAAACTCACAAATTGTATCATTATAGATTCAGCTTTAGACTATTTTGCAAGCCTTATCCGATAAGTTCTGTTTTTTCTAGTTTTCTATTAGGAAGTTTCAATTCAAGAATGAACTCAATGAATAATAAAATACCACTAAATGAAAAAGATGGTTCAGCCTAAAATTTAGCAGAAATTATTTATGTAGTCCAAACTAGTTTGTTTGTTTAATAACAAACAAACTAGTTTGGACTACATTACAGATATGAAAAAAAATTATCAGACTGCAGTGTGATGGTATGGGCAGAGCTTCAAGGAGGTTTGACAGCAGTTGAAAAACTGACTCAAGTTAAATATAGAAAGGCTTAATTTTATGATACAGAAACAGGAAAAAAACATGTGATGGTTTGATTGAACTTCATATTTTAATCAAAAAAGAGAAAAATTACCAAATCAAAAAAAATTAAATTAGATGGGCTGTGTGTGTGTGTGTGTGTGTGGGGGGTCTTGAAGAATCAAACTATTAACTTTGAGATAATTTAGTATAGCTGGTTATAGCCCTTACCAAACTACTATATTCACCAAGTGGAGTGAAAATGGTGACAAGTAATAAATGTTCAGCGAAACATTGGAGATTAAGTTGCTTTACATAAAGACCTATCTACCAAATTGATGTAGTATCTTTGGCAGAATAAACTTCAGAGAAAGATTTAAAAAAAAAAAATCCAAGCAAAAGCCAACCAGTGTGTGGTATTGTTTGTTTATATGAAGACATGTTTACTGGTGATCTTATAGGAAGAATAGCTTTCAGGAAGTAGCTTATCAGAATTTGTGCAAGTGACTAGATGGCGCTATATATATATATATATATATATATAATGTGTGTGTTTAAAAGCTTACATGAAGAGAAATATCTTTGCTAAACCATTCAGATTTATACCAATAGATCAGAGAGACTGGAAAAGTTGTTGAAATTTTAATTAATTTTGATTAATATGAAATATTTATTTTCTGAAATATTAACTTTGTCATCAGTAATAATAAAGTCTTTTTTTGTAAAATGTTGAACTAGAAAAAAAAAAAAAATACATAAGAGACCTCCTTGTTTATATGTAGATACATTACACTTTCTGAGTGAAAACCTGCATGAGCACTAAAATTCAATTTAGTGAATCTTGTCTTACCTTAAACCTCTGAATTGAAGATAAGCAAACAAATGATATATCCATTTGGATAGTATTCTACATGTGAAATTAAGTGGAAAATATTAAGTCTTCTAAAAGTTTGTAATTTTTAAAAATTTTCAAATGTCATGTTAAAAATATAATAAAAAATTTAAAGAAAATGTTAACTTAAATTATTTTAAGTTTAATTCATGAACGACAAAGCAACAAAAACAAAAAAAATATGACTAATTTAAATTATTACAAATATCTATATGGAAAAAAAGAAGAAAAATTTAGTTTTCAAGATAATCTTATCCCATATTCAAGTTAGAAAAATGGATATATCATTTGCTTGTTTCCAGGAATTCAGCTTGTACCAAAATTAAAATAAGTAGTATTATAATTGTATTGCTCTTAATTTATAAAGAAGCTGGGGGAGGGGGGACAACATAAAAATATCTACCTATTTAGAAGTACAAAATGCCGAAGTATGTTTTGTCATCTTTCAGGATGAATTCATTTCAAACTTATCACTCTTTAACATGACCAATAATCATATTGTGATAAAGTAATTTAAAAAAAACAAACAGATTTCTTAGAAACTATTTAGCAGAGGTTAAAAGTTCATTAACATCCTTTGACCTTCCTATGGTTGGTCAGAACTCCATTGACAATCCCTTTCCACACTGTTCGGTCCTGTATTGCTGTCCCAATGTCCAACCCAAAGTCCTGAGCTATGTATGGTGTTTGGGAAAGTCAATTTTCATGAGAAGACACTTCCAGAAAGATGCCATAGGAATAAGGATGATACAATTTTCCTATCCACTCAGTGGCAGTGGCCAGCAAACTGTAATCATTTTTGTTTGAGCTTAAGAGAGATTGGTCACAGTTCTCTGTAAATTGTGTTAAGTGTTGCATGGGATATCCAACTGATGTTCTGGATTTTTCAAAGTAGATTTGTATACATTCCATCAAGACGAACAGATAATGTCCAAGTTTTTGATCCATACAGTAGAAATGGTTCAATCAATGTTCAAAAGGTTTGGACTTTTAAGGAGGATGGAAGGTTTAAGCACCAAATCTTGTGAAGTTTGTTATACACATCCTATGTAAGAGTTTTACAGATGTTGAAGATTTTGGGGAATCTATTATGTAAGACCCAAAATATTTGAAGTTCTCAACTCTTTAGTTGGATGTATTATTGAGTGACTTCAACTGATGGTTTAGGGGGAAGTTTTGATATATTCTGTCTTACTTGTGCTGCAATAGAGACCTACCTGGTTTGCTGCTTGCTCAAGTGATTGCTGTAAGGATTCTGTGTCTTTGATACATTGAGAAATTAATGCAAGATCATCAGTAAAGTATTGTGGTTGGGTTTACCAACTACTCTGGTGAGGTTTCAAAAGAAGTCCTTTTTCCTCTATGTTGTCGAGATAAATACGCAGAACATAGTCCAGAACAACTATAAACAGAAAAGGAGCAAGTGTTTCGCCATTTAGAGCTCCTGCTTTATCTTCAAATGACCATCAGGTAATAATACAATGGTGGCAGTGGTGTTTCTGTACACAGCTTTAATTGCCTCAACAATTCTGGAGGTTATACCATAGAGTTGGAGGATTTGAAAAATGAGATCTCTCTTGATGGAATCAAACACCTATAGTTTGTTGCACTTGTTAGATGCCCCTTTTTTGGAACAGGGAATATTCCACCCTTCTGCCAAGTTAAAGTTAAGTGAATTCCAGACAAAGATAAGAACCAATTTATGAACATGGGGACAATTCTTATGGTAGATTTCATAAAACACAGCAAGATTTTAAAGTATCAGTTTAGCAGATAAATAATCATGTAATATAGGGGTGTAAGGAAGTTGGGATTGTAAGTAATAATTTAATTTTGCAAAAATATCGTACCTGCTATCATCTTCAGAATCAAAGAAACTTGTAGATTCCAAATCACTGCTAAGCATGGACGTAGATTCATAGATCTGTCGAGGGTCTCTGTGTCGGTCATGTTTAGCATGCCCGTTGATGCGAGGTGGACCTAAATGAGAAACCATTTAACAAAAGTTACTGTAAATGAAAAATTATTCATGCAACGTGCTTTCTCATATATAAATAAACCAATTTAAAATCATAATTGCCTACAATCAAATACATTAAAATTTTATGCAGGTGGCCTCAAAAAGTAACATCTATTTATTTTCTTGGAAACTACAACAGATAGAGAAAATCCAATAACAATGTTGGATAGAGAAAGTTCAGCTACAAAATGATTTTTCTACTTTTTCATAGCAGATATGATGCCAGGAAAACATCTTTCATTTGCCCAAATATGTCCAGTCACATACATCTCTATCACTGCTACTGAAATGCATTACCCACTATCTTAATGTTCTCACATCTAGTTTGGTATCTATAAACATTTAGCAATTGTTGGTAAATGTTAATGAGTGCAATTATTTTCTGCATGGAGGAATTCAATAATATCCCTCTGCTTTATACACATTTTCATGTTCAGATTGATCTGTAACAAGGTAAAATAATCCTAGGCATTATTAATAGGAAGGATTAACTTTTGCTCGTCATTATCTGGCTGTACTAATTGTGCAGATTCCCATGACACTCTCACTATCCAATTCTATTCTTCATCATGTTTGGCAGGTCAGAGGGATTTATGTTGTCACAAGTCTGCTTGATATAGGTCTTGGCTTGTTGCCTTCTGCTCGCTTTTCATTGAGTAGACTCCCACAAAATTTGTCTTTAGCTCTCCTTTGAATGTCTTATACTGGACAAAGGTTCTCATACAATCACTCATTGGTCAAACAATTCTCCAAGTGACATTCAAAGCCACTCTTAGTGTAATTCTCTTTACAGTTTTGAGGTGCTGAGTAGTCATACAATAGAACAGTAGTAACAGTTGCTTAAAATAGAATGTTGTCTGGAAGTCTAGATTTCTACACGAAAGATAACTTGTCGATGGTAGCCCAGGTTTTACTTACTACCATACCAATAACATCTAATTGCTGTGGGGGAAAAAGAGCATTAAGTTATACAAAGCAGTTATCAAAATTCTCTTGATGAAAAATACTTCATGTGAGTTGGCCAATTAATACTTCCACATTTTTGCCATATTTTTAAAGGAGTCTGTTAACACATTTATTTGTTTTTACTGTAATCATTTTAAAAATAAAATAATTTTTATAAATAAATCACAAGATGATTTTATAGTATGCAGTATTTTAGCATGTTTTCAAATATTCAAATATTCATTGCTCAGTAATATGAAAAAGTCACAGTTGAACATCAAATTTCTTACCTCTTCTACTACTTAAAATGGACTCTGTTTCTGTACACGTGTCACATGGTTCATTCTCCCTGCCATGGTGAGGAGGATTGGCACTGAAAAAAAGAATGAAATAAAATACATACAATGTTTATGAGAATATTAGTACTTATTTTCATAACAATGGTATAAGCTATATAGAACTGTTATTGAAAGATGGAGATTATTGCAAACTGAAGTAATTATTTGAGAGATAATATTTTGAATTGTCAATCTGTAATTTTTATCAGAAGGCTTATGAAATCAACAGTCAGAAGCTGAACAAATGACTTACATCATTACTCTACATCTTCAGATATAGCAGCTTATCCAGCAACTGATAAAATTAAAAAGATGCTAGTCAATTATCTAAATCTATTAAAAAGAAAGTATCCCAATGATATGTTCATGGCCAACTTCTGGCAATAATACATTAATTTCTTATATTCACATGTGTAAGAATTTATGAAATAAGAAAAGAAAAGTTGTATATTTTGAAAACTTCTGGTCTTTAAATCCCTACCTCAAAAAATTATTTCACTTTTTTCCCTTCCTATCCCATTTAAGTAATTTTACCACAGTAAATTTACAGCAAAACATGTTAGGAGAAATTTCAAAATAAAAAAATAAATAAAAAAGGAGGATTTTATGTTAATACTTTACATGAAGGCATATTTTTCCAATGGATTACCAATTTTTTGAAGAAAAGCATTTATGTTGTGCAGACAAGAACTAGCCTAGTTATAGGAGTTTTAATGTACTATAAATCGATAATGTGACAAATTTGGAAATACCTTGTGTGCTAAGGTAGAGGTAATCTTTCATGAACTTTAAATCATTTCAGACTTCACTTGAAATAATTTTTTTTTAAAATGGAAAATAGAATGCGAGATAGGGTGATTGCAAACTTGTAAAGAACAGTAGCTTGATATTGTCAGCATCAGTCACCTTTGTAAATAAGCAGCATAAAATTAAAAAAAAAAAAAGATTTAAATATAGGCCTTGATTCAACATTAGCAGTTGTTGTCCAAAAAAATGCACAAGAAAGGAAAGGTGAAAGGAAAAAATTACCTTAAAATTCTAATTTAGAAGTAAACCTCCGTCAGAGACCAAGCATAAATCAACAGGTAACATTGAACGCACTTGACATGAGTTGGTCAATAAAATGCAGACACACACACAGTAAGCCAAGGTGAACAAGTAAAGAATGAATTTGCAGGACTGGGCAATCTTTTTGTTCTTCATAAGGTCGAAGTACTTTAAGTGAGAGAGAAAGGGGAAAGAGGGAAGGAGAGAGAGAGAGAGACAGAGAGAGAGAAAGAGGGAAGGAGAGAGAGAGAGACAGAGCGAGAGAAAGAGGGAAGGAGAGAGAGAGAGAGAAAGGGGAAAGAGGGAAGGAGAGAGAGAGAGAGACAGAGAGAAAGGGGAAAGAGGGAAGGGAGAGAGAGAGAGAGAGAGAGGGGAAAGAGGGAAGGGAGAGAGAGAGAGAGAGAAAGGGGAAAGAGGGAAGGAGAGAGAGAGAGAGAGAAAGGGGAAAGAGGGAAGAGAGAGAGAGAGAGAAAAGGGAAAGAGGAAAGAGAGAGAGAGAGAAAGGGGAAAGAGGAAAAGAGAGAGAGAGAGAAAGGGGAAAGAGAAGGAGAGAGAGAGAGAAAGGGGAAAGAGAAGGAGAGAGAGAGAGAGAAAGGGGAAAGAGGGAAAGAGAGAGAGAGAGAGAAAGGGGAAAGAGGGAAGAGAGAGAGAGAGAGAAAGGGGAAAGAGGGAAGGAGAGAGAGAGAGAAAAGGGAAAGAGGGGGAGAGAGAGAGAGAGAAAGGGGAAAGAGGGAAAGAGAGAGAGAGAGAGAATGGGAAAAGGAGGGAAAGAGAGAGAGAGAGAATGGGAAAAGGAGGGAAAGAGAGAGAGAGAGAGAGAATGGGAAAGAGGGAAAAGAGAGAGAGAGAGAGAAAGGGGAAAGAGGGATGGAGAGAGAGAGAGAGAAAGGGGAAAGAGGGAAGGAGAGAGAGAGAGAGAAAGGGGAAAGAGGGAAGGGAGAGAGAGAGAGAAAGGGGAAAGAGGGAAGGAGAGAGAGAGAGAGAAAGGGGAAAGAGGGAAGGAGAGAGAGAGAGAAAGGGGAAAGAGGGAAGGGAGAGAGAGAGAGAAAGGGGAAAGAGGGGAGGAGAGAGAGAGAGAGAAAGGGGAAAGAGGAAAAAGAGAGAGAGAGAGAGAAAGGGGAAAGAGGGGGAGAGAGAGAGAGAGAGAAAGGGGAAAGAGGGAAGGAGAGAGAGAGAAAGAGGGAAGGAGAGAGAGAGAAAGAGGGAGGGGGAGTGGAAAGAGGGAGAGGGAGAAAGAAAAAGGGAGGGGGTGGAAGAAAAAGAGAGAGTGGGAGAGGAGATTGTTTAATTTATAAAGGTGTGCAGTGAATGTAAAGTACAGCTTTTTTAGGGAGTAGGAAACAAAGAGGTGACAATGAAAAAAGAAGACATGATTTAATGTCATCTACAGATAATGCCCTTTAACAAAATAGCACAATAAAAAGAGTTTGCTTGTAAGGCAAAGCACAAAAATTGCATAATTAAAAAAATGCTCACAATTTCTATTTTTACTAATAACGATACAAAATAATTATAGTAATTATTTTTTGTTATGGAGGAAAAATGAATCACATCAAAAGTAAATACAGCTTTTACAAATTAATGTTAAGCCTTCATTTATAAGTAGTAGAACAAAAGAACTGTTGGCTAAAGCATAATAAAGATTGCTTTAATTGTGGAAAATTGTTTTATTTGTATCTCAATATATAAAAAAATTTTTTAATTCTAATCTATTATTTAGTCATACAGAGTGTATCCAAGAATATATTAATAAGATTATTCTCAATTCTTATTAAATAAATGGGTAAACCTATTTAATCAATTGGAGCAATAAGTATGACAAAATAGGGAACAGTTTCCCTACTTAAGAGAAAAAGTTTTTGCAAATTTTTACAATAAAAATTAACTCAGTGTATTATTGACATTTTCATATTTTGATATTGTTTCAGTAATATCAGAATCAGTTACATTAGTTTAATGACAACAAATAGTTTGTATACTAAATACATAAATCAAAGTATGTAACAGAAATACTTCTTAAGAGTACGTCTCTTGATAAATCTATATGTCCAAAACCGGCATAAAGCTGTAAAGATATTTTTTTTTTTAGTTTTTATGTTTTTCAATTTCATAACAATTTAAAGAAAACTATTTGTGAGCTTTCATCCTTCATCTAACAGAAATAAACTAACTTCAGTTATGATAGCAACTAAGAATATAATTAAGTGACATTTTTGTAATTTTAATTAAATCATGGCTGCTGAAAGTTTATGAAAAAGGCTATAGGCAAATAAGCTTCTCAGCTGTATATCACAATGTATATTAGTTCTCTATTGATGAGTGTAATTATTTTGATAAGTTTTCTTAATTGAAAAGCTTAAGAATTTACAAGAGTAAACAAAATCATCAATTACAACCATTAAACCTCAATGATAAAATAGTGGCAAAGTAATAGATGTTTATTAAAACAAGGTAAAATAATCATATATTGATTATCATTTATACTTTCATTGATTTTATTTGCCAGAATTAGAATCTGAAAATTAACAAGATACAAATTCCCATTTTTTGTCAGAGTTATTGTTCAAAATGTTTGTTTTAGCTTTCTGATCTTTGGATATAAAAGTAAAATCAGTAATATCATGGTGAGCATTAAGCACATAAGATTTTAAAAACTAATTGTAATAGCACACATATAAAATAAAATTAGTAATCCTTAAGTGTTTGAAAAATGAGGCCTTTCCAAGAAAGTTTGGAAGACGGAAGCCTTTAATATACAAGAAATCAAACAATCAGATTGCTTCATCATGGAGACAGCTGGAATGAATTTACAGAAACTAAAAATGACTTCTATATCTGCCCATTTCTAAAATTAAGCAAAATCATGTTTGTTTTTAAAGAGCAGAAAACTTATAGAAATCAAGTGCAGGTTTCACATGTGGAAAACAAATGATAGTCATATACAATAGAGTAACTGTTATAATACTTGAACCATTAATGAGAATGGTCTGGAATTAATTAAGGGAGTAATAGTAGGTAAAAGAGCCAGCAGCAACTAAGCATGGCAAAGAAAAGGACCTCATAGCTCTTTGTTTACAAATACTTATGTGTAATGATTTAAGTGATGCGTATCATTGGCAAAGTGCATCATCAAATCAAGATCTCTTTGCTATATAACGCAAAATATTTTCTTTAAACACTGATGTGGATGGCAGATTTCTCTCTTTCTCACACAAAACTCTTAAAAACCAAGTCTCTTCCCTGAGAAATAGAAAACAGATATTCATGCTTCACATGCAGTGAGCAAATAAGAAATTGCTCTTCCAAAACAAAAGTAAAAAGAATTAAAGAGGAATTTTTTTTTTTTACTTTTTATTGTTTGTGATCAGTTAATGTTATATCATTAAAAAAAAAATCCATAGAACATTTTATTTAGTGATTTGAATAATTCTGATTAGAATTTGAATTTTTGTACATAACTAAAAGTGGGGAATTCTGAGAGTGTACACTTGGGCAAAATTCCCTGTAGACACTGCATACATGATGTCAAGTGTCTCCCCAGACAAGAGACTGTCCTTTGGCATAGCCTTGTCTGGATTTCTCTCTGCCCAGAGGCAAAGAGGTTGACAAGAAGTTCTACTTATACCACTTCACTATTAAAATGTTCACAAGAAAAACTTAAGGAAAAAATCTCACTAATAGTCAGATTTGAGATAATTTGGTTTGATTATTGCATACTGAAATATCTTGATTGAGCATAAAATATTTTTCTTTAAATAATACTAGTGTGTGTATGTATGTGTACATGAGATAATACGCCTAAAAATTCTATAGAATTTTTTTTTTTTTTTAATAATAGTGATGATAATAATAAAAAAAAAAGGTCCATCACTATGGAATGGAATGTTCTTTTATAATCCATGTTAACATGGAGGAGTTTATTTTTGAATATAAAAAAAGTGTAAATCTTTTATGTCCATTTTTTTTTAAAGTTTATTTGTAAACTCAGAAAATGTGCTAACTCCTGGTATAGATGTTTAAGAAAGAACCAAAGACGAGTTTGATTCTAGCAACGACAGTCATAACATAGCAAGATGGCATAATAAAAACGCTTACAATAGGAATGAATTTGAAGTTGTTTTCATTCTATGGTAGCAATAGCACACCACAAGAGAAGCTGCTAAAACATGCAAGTAAAATATTGATTGATATCAACAGTGGACACAAATCCACCCATCTGCTTGCTTATCATATCATTAAACCACATTCACATCATATCTGTAAGAGAAGTGAGGAGGTCAAATTAACTCAGTAACTGAAATAATTTTAAACTGATGAAATAAAATAAATTTATCAATTACTGTCATCTTAAAGATCTCTATTATGATTTACATTATGAATTTAACTATTAACAACCATTAGATTTATTACATAAGGCAGTTTTCAAAGTTTAGGATTATTTTTGACAACATTTAAGTTTGATAAATTAGATAAAAATTGAAATATAATGTCATGTTCAAATCTCTTAGGAATATTTTCAGCCAATGATTCTCTAAACTTATAAACTCAGAAAGAAAAGTAAGACATCTGGATTGTCATTCTTATTTTCTTTTTCATAATTTTAAAACATTCTAAAAGACAAAATGACAATTGATTTACTACCCAGTCTTATGTAAAGACCAAAATTAAACAAAATATTATGAAAACCACCCCTGCAAATAAAACAAACTTTAATCCAATATAAAAAAAGACTATAAAATTACGAGCAATTGTGATATGCAAAACAAGAGGAATAAGTTAGATTACACTAAAGTTAAGCAGAATGCAAGTTAAATTAAGATAAAACCTTCATAAAACCTCATATTTCCCAAGCTGATAAAGAATTATTATTTTTTATTGCAGGATTTCTTTGGTTTTTTGTGACTGTTTAAATGATGTGCCAAAATATTCTATAGAAAGATTTTAGCTATAAATTAAGAGTAATGTTGTATAAAATAACATTTTAGGATAGAATGCCATTTTTCATTCATTCAAGTTATTCTCAGCTTTGTTATTCCAGTTGACAATGTTCACTGACCAAAGAGTGACAAACATTTTGTAGAGAATTCACTTGACTAATCAAAATAAGAAATAATTTGGAACAGTTGAGTGAATCACACACACATTAGAAATCGGTGCTCAAAACAGAAGTTATAATATTGATGATTTAACAAATAGGCTGATGAGTATTAAATCAAAGAGAATTTGCTGGGGGGGGGGTTAATAATAACACTAACAAACGGAATCAAATATATGAGAGTGCTTATGGATGTGAAAACCACAACAATGAAGTCATTAGAACATTTTATAACAATAAATAAAATAATGAAATGTTTTAAACAAACTAAAATAAACTTTTTGAATGTAATTTAAAGTTATCTTTTTAATATCAAAAGATCAAATGCTTCTGTCTGTTCTCCAGGAATTCTTAAATGGATAGCTAAGAAGTTGAAATCTGAGGATCAATTGGTACAGAGGTTTCAGTCCACCTAACAAATAGAGCATTTGATGAAGGGGAGGAGAAAGAGAGAGACTAAAAATGGAAAATTTTTTTTATTTTTAACCTTTTTATATTCAACAATACAACTTTATATTTAAACTGAAAATTTTACACTATAACCAATGTACTGATATTCTTACTCAGTGTCCATCTACATCTAAGGTTCAATATAGACAGCTATGAAGCTTGTTTGAGTGAGTGGCAGTTGTCCTAAGTACACTTGCAAACCATGTGTCTTATAGGCCAGCAATTAAAACAAATATAAATATCAATGTATAAAGGGGTAGAAGACCGAGTAGATAGAAACATTTCTTTTAATGGTTGGAGAATATTGCTGTAGTAATTACCTTGGAGGCCATGTCAGAAAATAGATGGACTTTATCTTAGTAAAAGGTTTATAAGCATTATTAAGCTCAAATGTCTTTTATGAAGACAAAATGTTTGGCTGAAAAGACTATAAAGAACACATGTCATGAAACTAATCAAATGAAAACTAGAATTGATGATTAGCCAAATGACAAGTCATTGCAAAGCTTACTAAAAAATGTCTAAGTGTGGTTAAAATTACACGAGGAACAATCTTTATATATGCCATGTTCTTTCAGGATGTAAACCATAATAGTTCTCTACAACTTCCTGTTTTATTATTTTAAACAACTCTTGCCACTTCACTACCAAAATCTTTGTTCTGTCATTCATTCACTCAAACTTGTTACATAGGTTACTTGCTGTTTCGTCCTGCCTTTTTTTAAATACCATAAATAGATCCCGAGAGTGTTAATTTCTCCAAATTTTCTTTTCTCATCATGTGTTTCAAAAATTTCAGTTGTCTCCAGATTGTTAGCAGTATCTATTCTCTTTAAAAC